TTTCGATGATTTTTAGGTTGTCAGTCGCTGCGAAAATACCGCAATTTTGTCAGAAAGTGCTATCGTTTGACATATAGTAAATGGAAAAATGATGGAAAAGGAAAGTTGGTCAATGGTGCAATTGTGCTCCTTCCTTTACTTTCATGATCGAGTGATTTTGACACCCTTCTTACCATGAATTTGATGATGCGGTGTTGATCTTTATTTCTATGTACCATCGGCGAGGAGTCTACAGTTATTTGGCAAGCATAGCATGTGGTATCCTGTTTCCTTGCCACATAGTGATACTTATTTACCAATCTCAAGAGGATGAAGGGCGAGCGATCCCGACCGGAGCTTGAACGACTAACCTATCAGTTTTGAGTTCGACGCCCAACCGACAAAGCAACCAAGGTCAGAAGAAATGTATGGTAAATTCTTTGTTCAACGGAATTGGTAAGTAAGACAAAGACTGCCCTAGAGCGTAACAGAACCCCGCAAACCCGGTTTTCGAAACTGACCTCAGACAAATGCTCCAAAACTCTACATAATGGAAATGACAAAACAAGGGTAAGATTATCAATAAATGTGACATAACACTCCCGATGGGCGCAGTAATGAAATTTTATATGGTGTGCCAATGCACAAACCAACGCAGGTGTTAAACTTCGCTACGCACGGGGCTGTAAGCCACCATCACATATACAAAAACACCGATTTAAAGAAAATGATAGCAGATTAGTACCAGATTTTAGCATGGCTTTAAATTTTAAGATGTGCGTTCCTCCAAACCTTCTTCCCTAGTTGATGATAACACCATCCCAGTTTTCATTTATCAAAACAGAATAGGCGCTTTCATTGGACATAAGATGTTCCATCGTTAAAATAAGCAGACTCCTACATCAAAAACTTAATCCTTAGCCTGGCCTTGTCGAATACAGGCACATTCGATGACTGAAAGAGCGTCCCCAAGAAACGGCGGATTATTCAGTACCAAAGTAGTCAATTTATCTTCAATCCCAATGTTACATTGCCGCTAGTGCTTTTGCCGCATTTCTGAAATATCTAATAAAACATTAATTTATTTCAATTTTAAATTTACAAATCAGACATCCTTAATATTATTTTAAAATAAGGAAGTATATTTGTCAAAGAATTATTTATCGCAAACGTAAAACGACCTATCAGACAAAATTTCAAATCTACACAACATACGAAACACTCAGGT